CAAGATTGCAAGCAACCACTATTAGAGGAGGAAGTTACTAGAAGAGAAAAGATTTATAGAGCAAGATAACGATTAACAGACAACTTAAAAGATTGCAAATTATGTGAATCAGGAAAACAAGATGAAGGAAGATTGATGTTTGAGGAAAAAAACTAGTTGAATAAGAATTTTTAGAAACAGCCACAGTAAAAGGATGAGACTTAATTGAATGACGAGTAACACAAGAATAAATTTTAGTAGGTGGAAAAAAGAGATGCTAGTTCTTTAGAGCAGTGCCGATTATTTTATTTATAGAAAAGGAAAAAAAAAGATTACGACATTACAACAATGTGATAATTGTTGGAGGTTGGTTGCAAGAACAGGTTCAACTATGCTTACATCTTGTTGTTTTTTCATCTTGTCCAAAGATTTTGAGTTTTATTTAAGTTAATGTTCACCAGCCTCTGAGAGCCCCATGCTGTAGCAGAAGTGAAATTCTTTTAAAGCTCAAATGCCCCCTCCAAGCAATCAGAGAGTGTTTGCTTCTTATCAAGACAAAAATAAATGGTAGTATCATCAGCAAACAATGCCACCTTAGATGTGAGAATTTCAGGGAAATTGTTAATGTAAATTTAAAAAAGTATATGACCGAGGATAGAACCTTGAGGAACCCCTGAAGTTAGACTATATGAAGAAGAGTGCTGTCCATCAAGGACAATTTTTATACTATGATTGGTAAGGAGGGACAGGTTCCACAATTTTCAAGTCTAGTTTTATGTCTCTGCATTTTATAAATAAAATGAAATTTTTATACAAAAAGCAACAAAACTCAATGTTAAAAGTCACAATAAAATGATGGATAATTGCTTCAATTCAGTTTAATTACTATTTAAATGCACAATAAGTAGAAATGAATTATCATTTTCAAACTGTCTGAAACATTATGGATCATTAATTATATTTAGTAATTTACATGGTAAATTACCAAATATAATTAATGATCTATAATGTCAAAGTTTGAATCATTTTTTTTGGTTTTCAATTTCTTCAGCAATGGGATGCTGACTTAAAAAAGATTTAGGAGATTTTGAGTCCAAAGCTCTTCAGCGATGTACAGTCTTTGCAACGCAAACTACAAAAAAATTAACCAGAATTTTTTTTTTTTAATTTGCATTCACTCCCAACAAGGCTGCAAGCAACCACTATTAAGTTGGGAGTAACTAGGAAAAAAAAGAACAGAGTTATAGAGCAAGGAAACAGTTGATAGAAGACTTGAAAAGCAGAAGGTTGTAAGAGTCAGGAAAACATGAAGATGGGAGATAGTTCCAAAGGATTGAAGTGCGGGGGAAAAAACTAGATGAATAAAAGTTTTTAGAGCATGCAGGGACAGATACAGTAAACGAATGAGACTTAGCTAAATGACAAGTAAAACGAGAATAAATTTTAGTTGATGGAACTAGAGATGATACCTTTTTTGAGCAGTGACCATGATAGTATTTGTAGAAAAGAGAAAGAGATGCAACTTTACGACGATGGGAAAGAGGCTCAAGCTTAGCAGATAGTCTAGGTCCAACAACATTTACAATGCGTTTTTGGACCTTGTCAAGAAGAGAAAGTGAATCGTTAAAAAAACCAGCCCAAATATGACAACAGTATTCCATACAGGGACGAATAAGAGATTTGTAGAGGTAGAGAATGGAATCAGAAGTAAGGAAATGGCGAGCACGATAAAGAGAAGCAACCTTAGCAGACTTGACAGCTTATTTCAAAAAAAGAAAGCTTTTAGAACTTTATTTACCTGTTTGTCACAATTTTTGACTTCATTATTGCATTTTTTTATGCTGAATGCTAAATCATGAACACAAACAACTTGCTCAATCCCTTCAATTCTAGAGACAACTGCCAGTTTTTCATTAAAGCATTTAGCGTGTCACAAGTATCACAACCATGAAAGTAGGATACAGAACAAACTTATTCTGTGTAAAGTTTTAGCTGATGTAGCAATTTATCAAACTTTGGAAAAGGATCATTATTGTGACTAGTCTAAAACAAACAGCATTCCCATCACAATTTTTGAGGTTGAGCTTTAAAGTTCTTTTTTTTTCTTTTTTTTTTTTTGCGTTGACATTTTCATAATAAAGGGGCATCTTTCAACTGTAAAATTTTGTAAACTAGAAGAATAGCTCAGTGTGAAGTTTATGATTTAACACAAAATAATTGGAAAATGTTTTCTTTGTTTTTATAGTGGTCTTCCTAGAACTTGATAAAGTCAATGAAAGCTGGAATCTCCACGAGTGAGAAGAACGGGTTAGCTCTTGCGAGCATCTTCTAGATTGCATCTTCATATTTGTATACTTCATGTTTGTACTAAAATGTTAAAACACAGTTTGAAATAAAATACATAACAAAGCAATAAAAAAAAAGTTTTTTTTTTATCAAATTTGACTGCAATAACTATTTATAACTAAACAAAGCAGAGTTATCATATATAAAACAAATAGGTACATAACTGATTTTGGTTAATTTACCTTATAGTTGTTTGTTCGCTTGCTGTCTTCCTCTCCAATTTTTGTTGTTTGGATGATGAACCTGCTGCTTCAGAAGGACTATTTACAACTTCCTCAAAATTCTTGGTCTTGGTCCTGGTCACAACCATAATTTTGTTGAAATTGTTTTGCAACCCTTGAAAACTAGATGTTGCTCTTTTTCCTGCAGATAAAACAAAAAATTAAACTCCAAAGACATTGATTTAAAGTAACTGAAATTTTTGTTTACCTGTCCTTGCATTTGAAATGCCATAATGCTTGCAGTGCCAATGTTCAATGCAGTTGATAAAAGCTGAGTCAAAGTATTGCCAAGTATACCTTATGGCTTTTGGCATCCTAAACTTCTGTTTTTGGTCCTGGTTTTGTCACAAATTAAAATAAATTAGTATTGATACAAAGACTGTTTTATTTTGTTTTGTTTTTTTACGTTAATTTTGTTAATTATTACACATGAAACACACATAACAGTGGTGTAACCTCAAGTTTTTTTCTGGTCACCCTTCAGGTGACCAGAAAAAATTGAAATATTGTTTGCCTTACTTAACTTGTTTGCTATGACTATTAGTTGTTTGGTATTTTTATTTTTTTTTATAAGGTTTTCTTAATCACAGGAGTTGGCAATGAAAAAAAATAGTTAAAATACTGTACTACTAAAATACGGTTAATAGGAAACTGTTTAATTAATGATATAAAACTTTTTAATAAAAAAAATTGAAAAAAATATTTTATTATTCTCGCTTGATCTTCGATCAGTTCAAATGCTTTTAACTTAATTTTAAATACGACTTTTTTTTTTTCGAAAAATTTTTTTGTGTGTAATAATTATTTTAACTTGTTTAAATTGTGTAATAATTATTTTAACTAGTTAGTTAAAATAGTTTAAACAGTTTTTTTAAACTGTGTCAAGCAAAAGGTTAAATATTATTAATGAATGTAGAAATTTTGTTCAAAAAAAAGATTTTGTTTTAAATTAATTTTAAAATAGATTCAAAATGTTGTAAAAAAAAATTTTGGAAACACATTTTGAATTGAAAAGAAAACACTTAAAATTTTTATATAGCATTTTTAAAAAAATGATTCATTCTGTTTTTGAATTAAGAGAAAATGTGATTTTGAAACCTATTTTGAATTGAATTGAAAAATGACCAGCACATAATAATGACATTTTAATGGCTTCAACATATAGAATTAAAACAAATTACAAGTAATCAAGAAGGCCTTCAAAACTTAAAAAAAGAATTTTACTTATGAAGAGAATTTTAAACAAAAAATTAAAGTTTTTTAGTTGGTTTAAAATTTTTTTATCTATAATAGAGAGATTTAAATGATAACCTTTTTACAGAATGAAATAGTTTTTTATTTAAGATTTTTGAGCGAAAAAATATTTGATTCCTTAAATTTAAAAAATTGCAAAACTATTTTACTTATTTTCTAAATTAATAAACAGGGGGTCCAATAACTTCTTTAGGGAGGGGGGTGAATGGTGTCTCAAAAAAATAAAATTTTTATGTTTTTTTTACCCCCACTTACCCTATTTATTTGGCTGGTGAGAATAAGTACCAACAACTTATGGATGCCATAAATTTTGAAGTGTACGAATCAAAAAAAAAGCAGTTTTAAAAATAGCATAAAATTCACTAAATTTGTGCTATGAATCAAATGTTCGATTGTTTTGACTCAAAAACTCAACTTGTATGAAATATTTAAAATCATTTTTATTTCTGCAAGTTACTTAAGTTGTTCCCAAAAAAAATTCATTTCATTTGAGGCAAAAGCTTTAATTAAAAGAAAGCCTTGGTTTAAGGTATTAAATTAGAAGTGTTTGTTTTGTTTTATATATCTCAAATTATATTGTAGCAAAACCATCAATGTTTGCAGCATTTCGCATAACATTTTTTTGATATCAATTTTGAGTACTTTAATATTGCAATATTTTTTATTCTGTTAGTTTTGTTTTTGCAATAATTCTAACATTTTTGCAATATTGATGTTGCAATTATTCCACTCTTAATAGTTATCAATAATCAGTTAATCAATGTAATGATTATTTACAATTTTAGTTGATTCTGATTGGTTTGAATAAAATTTTAGCTGATTCTGCTTATTTAAGTAAACATATTTTTGGCAATTAATTGAAGTAAATTTCAGTTTTGAAAATAAATTGATCATTTATAAACGGTACTCAAACCAAAATCAAATTTATAGAAAAAGAAAGAAAAAATACAATTAAATATATTAGGATTAGCTAAAATAAGAAAAAAGAGCTTAAGCAAAATATAATTATATTCTTTAATACTTTTGGTTACAAAAATTTACAATTTATTTTTGAGATTTATACTTTTTATATAGTTGTATGATTTTTAGTTTATTGTTAGCAGCTTTGTAAAGTTGCTTTTTCTCTCCTAATATTTGATTTCTTTAGTTATTTTGAGAAATAATTTTCATGTTGTTTAAAAGGTTTTGTTTTTAATTTAGTGGGGTTATGTTAAATGTTGATAAATCTTCATCTTCAAAAAATGATGTTGAACATTTAAAGTTATTAAGTTCTTCTGATGATGTTTTGTCATATGAAAAATTGTTTTCAAAAACTCCAATGATCAAAAAAGCGTTCCATAAAAAAGACTTTTTTCAGCTACCTGCACCATCTCCATCCATCACATTGAATACAAAGTATGCTAAAGATAATATTCAGTCCTTGTTCAATGAAAGTCTTGATTTCGATATAGATGCCACTGATCACATAAAGGATTCATTTTATAATGGTATGAAATAGCTTTTTATACTTAAATAAAATTACATCATAACATAATGATTCTTATAATTTCTATTGTTAATGTTAGTGCACATTAAGTAGTTAAATTTTACTTTTTGAATTGATTATTATGTTAGAGCTTCAAAATACCTTCTTTGATTCTATTTAATTTATTTTTCATGAGGAAGTTATAGTGGTTAGATATTTAATATTATAGAGTGGGAAATGACCAGGGCCAAATACTGGATTTTTTACAACCCCGGCCCTGGCTAAAAAATAAATCTAGCAAGGTTTATTAGCCATGACTAGGACATTATATATATGTGTGTGTGTGTGTGTGTGTGTGTGTGTGTGTGTGTGTGTGTGTGTGTGTGTGTGTGTGTGTGGTGAATTTCAATCCAAGATGAAATATTGATTTCATTTGTAGAGTTTGTCATAGTTTAGGCAGCCCTGGCCATACACCCAGACCCAGCCCTGGCTATAGTTTATCAAACCTGGCCCTGGTCAAATATCAGCCCTGGTTGCTTACTATTATAGAGGACTTATATCTTTTATCAGTTTTATACAATTTGTTTCAACTCATTTTGTCAAAAAGTGTTTGTCTTATTAGAAATATGTATCTACAGATTGTAAAAACATCCATTCTTATTTTATCATAAAAAAGATTATGAAAAAGTATTTTTGTTTTACTTTGATTTGTCAAAAAAAAAATTTTGTGTGTTATTAGAAGTATCTGTTTCATAGAGTATTAAAACATAATAAAAAAGTTGTGAAGAAGTTATTATAAAGAACTAAAATTATTTTGGCTAGACTTTAGTATATATTAATTTCAAAAAGAAATGTTTGTTAAAAAATATGTTTGTTAAATGAAATTTCTTTCAAGGAAAGTTCATGAGCTTCTGTGTTATAAAATACATATTTGCAAGAGCCACCACCACTCCTACTCATAGCTTTCACAAACTTTTTCAAAGCCAATGTATTATGTATAAAGGTGGTAAAAATATGTTATAAGGCTGCACCAATGGTTGATTTTTAATTTTTTTAAATCCTGGAGTTTTAGATTGTCTTTTGGGCCAGTCTTGCTTAACATAATCATTTTTTTGGTCTCTGCTATTTCACTCACAAATAAGAGTTTTTTATAATCTAGTTGTAATACTAATATTATGGTAATCACCTTCAAATCTCCACTAACTTTCCAGTCATGTTTGTTATACTGAATTTTTTTTAAGATAAATTTAATAGTTTCATGACTCTTTCATGTTAGAAGCCTCATCTAGTTGTATATAAAGAAGTTTGTTGTCAATATATAAAAGCCTTGAAACTTATTTAATGATTGATAAATAAATATTCCTTTTGCAATTTCATTGTTTTATATACTCTACCTAAGCCAGTCATTACACCGTAGACATTTTTACAAAATATCAGATGATCATCTTGTGAAAAAACTTTTTAGCTCTCTGTCTTGATTCCAAAAAGTAACTAACTCCATTCCTTTAGTGGAGAGCTTAAAGGTTCCTCCTTTTGTTTGGACAAATTCACATTTTACATAATTATGTATTAAATCATTCAGATCTCCCTGAGATATAGCTCATTAGATATGCAATAGATAGTCATCTTTGTATTGTGTGATACATGCTTCATCTCACAAATGTTTATAATAAAGATTCATTGAACCAGAAAGTCTTGTTCACCGAAAAAATCTTTGAAAGTCTTTGTAGCTAAATCCATTATCATAAGCTATGAAATAAAAAAAATAAAGATATCATCAATCTATGATATTTTAAAATTCATCTTTGTTGTACCTATATAAAATTCTAACAGTAATGTTTTTTTTTTTTCTTAACATAACTTTCTCATTTATATTTTTTTTTGGCACTAAATAGATTAAATTGAAGATTAGTTTCACTAATTACAAATATATATATATATATATATATATATATAGTAGAAAATAAAGCTACGTGATATTTGCAACTTTAAGTTTAATGCTATTGCAATCGTCAGTTAAAACACAAAAATAGTTTTTTCATTAATTATACACAATTGGAACTAGTTATGTAAAACTATACAGGGGTTATATAAAACATTTGAATATTTTGCAGGTTCCCAGTATCAATAAAATAATACTTTAAATTTGATTGATGGAATTTCACTGACTCTAAAAAGAAAAAAGAAAAAAATTTTTTTTGTGTGTTGGTGGTAGTCAATTGGTAATAATTAACTTGGTAGAAAATTCTTTTATTATTAAAATTATTAAAAACTTGATTTTTTTTTTATTATTGTTATTATTATTATTATTATTATTATTATTATTATTATTATTATTATTGTTAAAGTCAATCTTCAAAATTATTTATTAAATTTTTTTTAGAAAAAAATAAATTCTTACCAAATAAAACTTTGTAATACTAATGGTTTGTGAAATTTTATTTGAAAATTTTTCAATTTAGGTCCAAAATCTTCATTTTCACATGATTCAAGTGATTTACAAAATTGCAATGAAAAAAATGTTTCTTTAAAACAAAGTGCTAACTATAGGCCTTTTGATGTTTCATCAAAGCCAGCTTTTGAGATTTTCCCTGATACTTCTGGTAAATCAAAAGTTTCATCGAAGCCAGCATTTGAGATTCTTCCAGATGCCCCAGTTCAATCTAAGACTACATCAAAGCCAGTTTTTGAAATTTCCTCTGATGCTCCTGTTAACTCAAAAGCTCCATTAAAACCAGCATTTGAGATTTTTTCTGATGCTCCTGTTCAATCAAAAGCTCCATCGAAGCCAGCATTTGAGATTCTTCCAGATGCCCCAGGTCAATCTAAGACTATATCAAAGCCAGTATTTGAAATTTTTTCTGATGCTCCTGTTAACTCAAAAGCTCCATTAAAACCAGCATTTGAGATTTTTTCTGATGCTCCTGTTAACTCAAAAGCTCCATTAAAACCAGCATTTGAGATTTTTTCTGATGCTCCTCTTCAATCAAAAGTTACATCCAAGTCAGCATTTGAGATTCTTCCAGATGCCCAGGTTCAGTCAAAGACTACATCAAAACCAGCATTTGAGATTTTTTCTGATGTTCCTGTTAACTCAAAAGCCCCATCAAAACCAGCATTTGAGATTTTTTCTGATGCTTCTGTTCAATCAAAGGTTTCTTCAAATTCAGCATTTGAGATTTTTTCTGATCCTTCTGTTCAATCAAAAGTTTCATTAAAGTCAGCATTTGAGATTTTTTCTGATGTTCCTGTTAATTCAAAAGCTCCATCAAAACCAGCATTTGAAATTTTCTCTGATATTCCTGTTCAATCAAAGTTTACAACAAATTCAACAGATATCAACTTAAGTAAAACATTCGGAATCTCAGCACAATCGAAAGATATCCCATTACATAATAAAAATACTTCTTTGGCACATCTCACCTTGTTTGATTCCAAAGAGAAAAAAAATTTAGTTTTTGATAATTGCAAGCCATTTGAAGTTAAAGTTGTTAGTGAACATAATAAAAATTGTTTAGATGCACCAGGTAAATATTGAAAATATTTTTATTTTAAATAATTGGTTATATAAAAAAAATAAATGTATGTAAATTTTGTTTTATCATTATGAGCTTATTAGACCCTTAAGGAATATAAATTTAAACATTAATTATTTAAAATTATTCTGTATTAAATTTAATGTTTATGTTGATCTATTTTGTTTAAACAATTTTTTTCTAGCTCATCATAACAATACACAAGATAATTTTAAAAAACCCTTATCTATAGATGAAAAGTTTTGTTACCAAATGGAAAATAACCAAGAAAAAGTAGATAAAACTACTCTTAACACTTTCCAATTACTTTCAAACACTTGTAATACAAGGTATGTTTTTAAAGAATGAGGAATTTTTCAGCTTTCAACAATTTATAGCAATATCAGTATTAAAAAGTTTGTTTTTTACAAATTCAACATAGTAGCACAAATTAGTAATAACATGTTTATTAACAGTTAAAACTAATTTTGCAGTTACCAATAAACAAAATTATGCTTACCTTAATTTAATTCAATAAAATAATATTTCCCAGTTAAATCAATGGAAAAAAAAACAATAAAAAGTTAACATGTTTAAATTAATATATATATATATATATATATATATATATATATATATATATATATATATATATATATATATATATATATATATATATATATATATATTAATTGAAATAAAATTTATACAACAACATAATCCTAAATAAACCCTAAATAAAGCTAAAACTAAAAAATGACAAATTAAGAATATAATAAAATATAAGTATATAGACAATTAAAAGTCTGTAAACAAAATAAAATAAGAACATAATTTTTATATTTTTATTTATATAAAAAGATATATAATCTTTAATAAAATATTTTATAATTGTATAATCTTTATGAAAATATTTTATAAGCATAATATTTTTTTAAGTTTTTATTAAAATTATGTATTGTCTTACCAATGATAGATGTCATAGATACTAAAAATGAACAAAATTATATATATATATATATATATATATATATTATATATATATATATATATATATATATCAGGCCTTGTAATGAAGCAGGAGCAATCGCTCTGCACACATGAAAATAGTGCTCACTAATTTTGTTACGAGAGTAAAAAATTGCTCTTTTCTGATATTTATAGAAAATATTTTTAATTTAACAGTAGAGTTTGCATATTGTTAAATAATACTTAAATAATACTAACAAAGTTATATTTATATAAAATAGGTTGCACATAAATTAAAATTAAAAATCCCAGTGCAAGAGAGCCAATGATTTATTTCCTCTATTTGAAACTTGAATTCAGCATAATGTTTTTTTAAATTCCTGTTAAACTTTATCATATCATCCCTTAATCATACCTTGGTTATATCGAACCATTCGCTAACCTGCACAGTTTTTTTTATTTGACAAAAAAACTTGCTTAACTCGGACTTTTACTTTGAATTGCATAAAAGTCTAAAATGAAATATCAAAACTTGCGACACTTCAATAGAAATTCCAAACTCTGAATGCTTAAAAATTAATTATTTAGTGTAATATTTTGTTTATAATAATATATTTTTAAAACTTCATTGATAGCTTCGATTTTGTACAGGTTCGATTACATTCTATTTATTATATGAATATTATATTTAAAATTCAAAAACATCAAATAAAGTTCAAAATGTTTGGATTTCAAAACTTTTGTGTCAAATAATTTAACAAACTAAATATTTTTACTGGTATATTCAAATTGGTCAAATTTATAATAAAGTTAAAGCGAAAACTAAAAATTAGAGCTATAACAGAAAAATTCAAAATATGAATCTCTTCAGAATCTGAGTTAACAGGATTCTACTGTTTAATATTATTTGTTATATGTATTGTTTATTGAAACTTTGGGAAGCATACTCACAAACAACAAAAGAAAAAATGTAGCATCACTAGTTTCATGCCTTCATGGCGTGGTTTTTACTGATGGGACAAACACATTTCTACAAATGTACATGCGGTAGTGGTGTAATGGTTGAGCACTCGCTTCATAAGCGAGAGGTTCCGAGTTTGATCCCCACCACGTCCCTGGTAGTACCGCGCTCAACTCATTTCTCCGCGCAGTAGCCTTGTTTGTCAAGGATCTTGTTTTGGAGTTATAGAGTTAAGAGAGGGTTATAACCACAAATAAGTAGCCTTCTCGTTTGTAGTGGCCTTCTTAGCCTTGGGGAGGTGAAATAATCAGTATATAAGTTATATATTTGTATAAGTGTGTTTGTGTGTGTGTGTATATATATATATATATATATATATATATATATATATATATATATATATATATATATATATATATATATATATATATACCATTGGTATAAAAAGTTTCAAAAAACATGATCACTTAAATATGTAGAACGGACTAACAATGACCCGTATAACACTGTTCATGGCAAGTCTATTCCACACTGACCATTTTAATAACTCTTTATTTCAATAATTTTTTCTAAAAGAGAAATTTTTAAATCTTTGTTTTGAGTTTACAATAAATGTTCAATACTTCATAACTTCCACTAATTTAAAAAAAAAAAAAAAAAAAACGGGGATGGCGGTTATTTCTTTCTTTTATAAGTTTCTATTAAAGTTTTTTTTTTTCAGATCTGCAGCTTATTAGGACTCTTACCTCGTCAATTTAAAGAAAAATCAAGTTAGCATGTAAAATCTTTTTCTATAAAAAATAAAGTTGCTTCTTTAATGCGCAAACTTAAGTAATTACTAAGTACAATAACAACTTAAGTATCTCTTTCATGATATGCTCAACAAATTTTTAACGGTGTAATAATGTTTTTAGAAATTTTAAAAGCTTTTAAATGTTTTTAGAAAATTTAAATAAGCTTTTTGAAAAATTTTCTATTTCGTTTATTATAGTATATAATATCTTAATATATGTTATGCATATAATATCTTTAGACCTTTAAAAATGTTTTACTTTGTATTCTAGAAAATTGAAAAAGATTTTTAAAAAATTAGGTGTAAACGAAAGGATTTGAACCCACGTGAAGCACTTCACCCACTTTGACATGTTTTAAAGGAATAAAAAAATACACCACATACATAATAACAAAACAAAATATAAAGAAAAGTATATGTTTACAAAAAAAAATTAACTAAATTTGGATTATCTATTAACAATTAGTAGATTAACTAACTACATAAAGACTAGTTATAGATACAGCTTTTTTTTTTATCCTCCACTCTCTTTTTACACCACTTTTATCCACTCTTTTTTTACACAATTTTTTATCACTCTATATTAAAAATATACATTTTAAAAAATGGTGGGGGGACGCTTTTGTCCTAAATTTGAGCCCACAGCTTGTGAGATGTGGGAGGGTCCACTTTTGATCTGCAAAAATCTGTATTTGTTCTGCAAAATGCTGAAAAGGCATCGTAAGATGTCTATAATTAAAGATTAACACTGCAAACCAATTTACCTGTTGCTGATGTTTTTTCTAGAGCATGGCTAAAAATAATCAAAATCAGTAAGAAAAAAAAATTTATTTGTAAAAGAAAAAATTTATTATATTTATAAAAGCATTTATTGCAAAGACAAAATAGCTCTCACACAAAATAAGAAAACATAAAAGCTGTCAGTGCAAACAAATGACATAATTTGACCAGAAAATAAAATTATTCTTACCTTGTTTGCAAAAACTAATTTTTTTTCAAACTATTAGCTAATGATCAACATAGTAAATTTAAAATAATTAAAGTTTGTAATATTTGCAGTTAAATTTAAAAATTAACTTTACCATCACAAGATTATGAAGGTAAAGTTGTAAATATAAACAAAAAATTAAAAATTTAGTCAAATGGTCATTTTTTCATAAGTATGATCCTTTTAATTAAAAACAATGTTTTTTTGAACAGATATTTACACATTCTGTGCGAAAAAATTTGTTAAATTAGCTTCTGCTAAGGTTGCTTCTCTTTATCATGCTCGCCATTTTCTTACTTCTGATTCCATTCTCTACCTCTACAAATCTCTTATTCGTCCCTGTATGGAATACTGTTGTCATATTTGGGCTGGTTCTTCTAACGATTCACTTTCTCTTCTTGACAAGGTCCAAAATCGCATTGTAAATGTTGTTGGACCTGGACTATCTGCTAAGCTTGAGCCTCTTTCACATCGTCGTAAAGTTGCATCTCTTTCTCTTTTCTACAAATACTATCATGGTCACTGCTCAAAGGAGTTATCATCTCTAGTTCCATCAACTAAAATTCATTCTCGTTTTACTCGTCATTCAGCTAAGTCTCATTCGTTTACTGTATCTGTCCTTGCATGCTCTAAAAACTTTTATTCATCTAGTTTTTTTCCCCGCACTTCAATCCTTTGGAACTCTCTCCCATCTTCATGTTTTCCTGACTCATACAACCTTCAACTTTTCAAGTCTTCTGTCAACCGTTTCCTTGCTCTATAACTCTGTTCTTTTTTTTCCTAGTAACTCCCAACTTAATAGTGGTTGCTTGCAGCCTTGTTGGGAGTGAATGCAAATAAAAAAAAAAAAAAAAAAAAAATTAAAAAAAAAAAAAAAGCAAACGTAAATTTTTTAAGAAATTTGAAAGATTCTTTAAAAGTAAATTTAACTTTATAAAATCTAACCTGAATATCACCAACACTGTACTAAAAAATTAAATTCAAATAAAGCATGATTAAATATCTAACAAAAAATAAAAGCAATAAAAAATTAAAAACAATTTACTCATATCTAAAATAAGGTCATCTTCAGCTTCTATAAAATTAACAGCTTGTCGAGAAACAATTTCAACACATCACCTACAAAACAGAACATGTTTCATAAACTGAAACATTAAAAAATTTAACTTTAGTAACTATAAATAGATTGTAAAATTACAAAATATACTTACAATTTGTAAATAAAAGTATATTCAATAATTATAATTTTTATCATAATGATAAAACAGATATTCAAAGATATTTTTAAATAAAAAATTTAGATACTTACCGCATGCACATCTACAGTGCCTCGTGCATCATAAATTAAAGGCATCTAAGTTGACTCTTCCAATACTATATGGAATATAACACCTTTTTTATGGTTTTCTAAATTGTCATTGCTGCGTACTTGGTTTGAAATGTTTAACGGGGGCATGGTAAAATAGCTGTAAAACTCAAAATTTTCTTATTATGGTAATATTTAATCATTTTAACTTTTAATTATTTTAAAAAATAATGAACTTCATAAAATGGTTTAATGTAAAAATGAAATTAAAATTTTTAATTCTGTTCTTATTAAAAACATACTATTTGAACCCTTTTACCGTTTTAAAAAAAG